TGCTACCTAGAGCAATCTACACATTCAAGGCAATCCCCATCAAAATACCATCCACCTTTTCCGAGAAATGGAACAAATCATCCTAAAATTTGTATGGAACCAGAAGAGGCCCCGAATAGCCAGAGGAATATTGAAAAAGAAAAGCAAAGCTGGCGGCATCACAATTCCGGATTTCCAGCTCTATTACAAAGCTGTCATCATCAAGACAGTATGGTACTGGCACAAAAACAGACACGTAGATCAATGGAACAGAATCGAGAGCCCAGAAATGGCCCCTCCACTCTACGGTCAACTCATCTTCGACAAAGCAGGAAAGAATGTCCAATGGAAAAAAGACAGTCTCTTCAACAAATGGTGTTGGGAAAATTGGACAGCCACATGCAGAAGAATGAACTGGATCATTTCCTTACACCACACACAAAAATAGACTCCAAATGGTTAAAATACCTAAATGTGAGACAGGAGTCCTTCAAAATCCTAAAGGAGAACACAGGCAGCAACCTCTTTGACCTCAGCCGCAGCAACTTCTTCCTAGAAACATCGCCAAAGGCAAGGGAAGCCAGGGCAAAAATGAACTATTGGGATTTCATCAAGATAAAAAGCTTTTGCACAGCAAAAGAAACAGTCCACAAAACCAAAAGACAACCGACAGAATGGGAGAAAATATTTGCAAATGACATATCAGATAAAGGGCTAGTATCCAAAATCTATAAAGAACTTATCAAACTCAACACCCAAAGAACAAATAATCCAATCAAGAAATGGGCAGAAGACATGAACAGACGTTTTTCCAAAGAGGACATCCAAATGGCCAACAGACACATGAAAATGTGCTCAGCATCGCTCAGCATCAGGGAAATCCAAATCAAAACCTCAATGAGATATCACCTCACACCAGTCAGAATGGCGAAAATTAACAAGTCAGGAAACGACAGATGTTGGCGGGATGCGGAGAAAGGGGAACCCTCCTACACTGTTGGTGGGAATGCAAGCTGGTGCAACCACTCTGGAAAACAGTATGGAGGTTCCTCAAACAGTTGAAAATAGAGCTACCCTACGATCCAGCAATTGCACTACTGGGTATTTACCCCAAAGATACAAATGTAGGGATCCAAAGGGGTATGTGCACCCCAATGTTTATAGCAGCAATGTCCACAATAGCCAAACTGTGGAAAGAGCCAAGATGTCCATCGACAGATGAATGGATAAAGAAGAAGTGGTATATATACACAATGGAATATTATGCAGCCATCAAAAGGAATGAGATCTTGCCATTTGCAACGACGTGGATGGAACTGGAGGGTGTTATGCTGAGTGACATAAGTCAATCAGAGAAAGACATGTATCATATGACCTCACTGATATGAGGAATTCTTAATCTCAGGAAACAAACTGAGGGTTGCTGGAGTGGTGGGGGGTGGGAGGGATGGGGTGGCTGGGTGATAGACATTGGGTAGGGTATGTGCTATGGTGAGCACTGTGAATTGTACAAGACTGATGAATCATGGATCTGTACTTCTGAAACAAATAATGCAATATATGTTAAGAAAAAAAAAAGAAGAAGATAGCAGGAGGGGAAGAATGAAGGGGAGTAAGTCGGAGGGGGAGACGAACCATGAGAGATGATGGACTCTGAAAAACAAACTGAGGGTTCTAGAGGGGAGGGGGTGGGGGGATGGGTTAGCCTGGTGATGGGTATTAAAGAGGGCACATTCTGCCTGGAGCACTGTGTGTTATGCACAAACAATGAATCATGGAACACTACATCAAAAACTAATGATGTAATGTATGGTGATTAACATAACAATAAAAAATTATTAAAAAAAACAAAAAAACCCAAAAGTGCTCCTGATTGCATTATAAATACGTGGCTTCGCTGTCTGCCAAGAACTTGGAAGGGCTGAGGTATAACACATTTATGGAGCTGGTGTTTGTTTTTTTAACAAAACCACTCCAATCTAGTTTTTTTTTTTTATATGAGTAAACAGTGCCAGAATGTGTTATCATGATTCAGAGTTGTAGGCACAGGTTCATGAAAGGCTGTCTTTCACCTTAACTCATTTGAGGGAGGCCGGACAGGTCATATTATTCCCATTTTACAGATGGGGAAACGGAGGTCCATAGAGGATTTATTTGCACAAGCTCATGTAACTAAGGAGCATGGACTTCCTAGTTGAGATGCACATGCACCTAGGTTTGGAGGACAAACTGGATCCAGTAAGGATTCAGCTAGAACATCCCTGTTCTCTTCCCACCAGTGTGTTCACACCCACTCCTTTAGATGCCCCTGCCTTGTGGCTGGAGGACATCTTGGGCAGTTTTCTTGTTTGTTGCAGGTTAATGAGCAGTCTTGTTTTTAAGTATCAAAAAGTCCAAAGAAAGGGCACCTTGGTGGCTCATTCCAACTCTTAAGCGTCCGACTCTTGAATTTGGCTCTGGTCATGATATCGGCTCAGGCCATGATTTCAGGGTGGTGAGATTGAGCCCCATATCGGGTTCCAAGCTCAGCGGGGAGTCTGCTTGAGATTCTCCCACCTTCTCCCTCTGCGCCTCCCCCTGCTCTCTTTCTCTCTGGAATACATAAACAAATATTTAAAAAGAAAAGTCCAAAAAAGGTATATGTGTAGGAAGGGAGAGCCTTATTGGTGGAATGCCTGTCCTTTTAGAAGCTGTAGTTTTAGTTTTCCTTCAGTAGTTTTTGGTATTCTTCTGAAACATGAGTCACTTCACCATCAGATCCGTGTACCTGTGCACTGGATAGTGCAGAAATAGAACATTTCCATTGTCATAGAAAATTCTATTGGACAGCACTGGTCAGATCCTCAGCAAGTTATAAACCAACTCTTTGATTCTCACAGCCCAGTTCTCTGCCCAGCCCCTCCCTCTGCCACTGTTGGGGGCTCCAGGGTGGAGCAGGGGAGAGGAGAGGTAACTGGGCAGAGGGTTTCCATGGACTTGGTGCTCCTGGTGATCTGGTGTTGCTGATCGTGGGTTGGCAGATGTCTAAGTTCTGCATTCTCTCCTGGGGCACTTTGGGTGGTCCTTAAGAACCTCCCCCTCACTTGGGGTCTCCTGCTACACATCTCTTTATGACCCTCCCCCAAGTCCCATACTCCATGGGTACCCACCACACATCACCTGACCCCAGCAAGCAGCCTTTGATGAGGTCCTTTCTAGACAACCTAAACCCAGCGTTTCATGGTGCCTGCATTCAATTGACGGGAAAAAGCCAGCATCTTCTGTCCCTGCAAGTTCCAGAAATGTAGGCTGTCCCCGCTCCAGCCCTCTCTCTCCACTCTGCCCTCCCAGACACTCCAGCTAGGTTTTGTCCTTTAGCTACTTTTCAGGGGAGAATCTGGCACCAGTCCTTATATCCCAAACATGGGGGCTCAGATAAAGCTCTCTACATGGTAGTCCTTCTTGCTTGTCTGGGGAGGGACCTCTGACTTTTCTTCTCCTACAGGAGAGGAGGGGGCTGTCTTCAGCACTCCTGCATCTCTCTTCAAAGAAATCCACACAGGGCAAACTTCTCTCATCCTCTGGCCCGCTCCTTGTGCAGGCTGGAGGTGGGGAGGGGCGACAACATGGGATGAGGGTGGGGCAGAGGGGGCACCTCCTTTTCTGGTCCTCAATAGAGGGTGCAGCCCTTCCTGTTTGGAATGGGTGTCTATGTACTACCCTTGGGCCTCAGCTTTGGGGCCCCAGCCGCAAGTCTAAGACAGCCTTGGAAAGGATGCATCTGGCACCTCATTACATGTCCCCCTCGCCCCGATTCCTGCCCCATTGCCATCTCTGACCAGTCTGTTCATATCCATTCTGGGTGGTCTGCCAGGGCTTGGCTAATTTTCATACAAAGAGGAGCTTAGTGCGGCATTTAGGATACTTAGAGATGGTGGGAGGCTTTTCTAACTCCACACGCCCTAACCCCCACGTTCAGACAGGTTTCCTCATGTCTACCTCCACACAGTGAGTTCTGCTTGGACTGGAGCAGTGTTTCACATCTCACAATTGTGTTGGAAGCCTTAAAAAAGGGTGAGGACCACCCGGGTCACTCAACTGTCCTCAGGGTTAAACCCTAGAAAAGGATCCAAAAGACAACCAAGTAGGACAAGTGCCCTTTTTGCAGGGAGGCTTCAAACAATGGCATTGATGATTTCAAGTCAAGGGACTTTGGGCATTTTAGTTAATTGACAATGTTTGTCTCTCCTCTGACTAACCAGCTGTGTGGGGGTTTCCACCTCTGTCATCCCGTGATCCCTCCAGAAGGTGAGGACATTGAGGGTCAGAGACATTAGCTTGCCCAGGATCACCCAGATGGGAATGGTGGAGCTGGGATTCTAGTCTCAGTGTGTTCGAATCCAAGGCGTCATCCCTCCCAGCACACCCTGCTGTCTCAGGGCCAGCTGGCTCCTATACCATACCTTCCCTTTATTTGATGACAAGTCCTAATCAGGGCTGGTGACAGTAGGGCTTAACACAGCTAATCCCGCCCATGGAGAACATCTGTGACATGAGAGGGCCAAGAACGGGCAGAGGGAAGCCTCCAAGGGAAGCATGGGGTGTAGGAGAGGAGCTTCCCTGGCCAAGTTCAGAGCCCCACTTTTATCTGGACCTGACCAGCTCCACTAGGACCAAGCATGCACTAGCACTTTCTCTGTGTCCATCCTCCCCAAACCTCTGAGCCAGCTTCTGTTGTCGGCCCCCTCTTACCCAGGAGGAGACTGGGGCTCCTGAGGTTCCACACCCTGACCTAGAAACCCTGCTGGTGAGTGGTAAAGGGTTTGATCCCAGATCTGCCCCCTGCCTTGGCCAAGCACACAGCCCTGGGCTGCCTTCCCTGCATCGAGGCTGGCCCTTGGCACCTTGGCTGGGTCACATCCCGGGGAGGGGGTTGGGCTGTTCTCTCCCTTCCAGGGTTGAGGCAGAGCTGCTGCCTTTGACTGGGTGCTGTTGCCCGCGACACACTCATGGCCCTGCCTGTTGCTGTTTTTCCTTCTCAGCGTCCTGGGTTCCCTCCTACTGCTTGGACTCCAGCTCGTCTGCCCACAGCCCTCCACTGAACACAGAAAGGTAAGCCATGACCATTCAGAGGCTTTGCTTCTCCACACAAGGGGCTAGGGGCACTCCAGGCATCTGCCCGTGTTTGGTTCTCTTTGGGGGGGAGTCGCCGCTAATCTTGAGAAGGGAGCACCCCTTTTAGAATGTTCACCAGTCCTCCTCTCCCTCCTAAATCCTCGGAGCTTAAAAATGAAGCTGGTGCCCAGAGTCGGGGTCCGACCTGAGAGCATCGCTGGTGTTGCTGGCTGTGTCCTTGAGGACGGGACCCCGAGGGAGGGGGCACTGAGAAGACTACCCACCCGGGAGTGGTGGAGCACCAGCGTGGAGCTTTGACCCCCTCTAGGGGCACCTTCAGGGGCCGCGGGTACTAATGGTTACAGAGAGAGCTAGCTAGAGCTTTAACTGTAGCTATATGCAAGAGGAGCCCCATGGGGAGCCCTGATCTTTGCTAGGAGGACGTAGCCCCAGGCAACCAGCAGCCAGGCAAGGAGGGAGCAGGGAAATTAAGAGCTGGCCCTCTCTTTCCTCCCCTTCTCCATTTCCGCCTGGGGACTCCCTTGAGCTGAGCCCAACCAAAAGAAGACAAAAATCCCTTGGTCCGGTCCTCAGAGGCCGGCCTCCAAGGCAACAGGGCTGGATGGAGAAGGGTGGACAGAACATGGGGGTGGGGGACACACGGACAGTATCAAGCATGCTTCCCTTCAGGCTCTGTGGGTTTTGTAGCAGATGAGCTATTCGCTGCTGCCGAAACAAGCTGAACCAGAACAGGTGCATGATAAATGCTTCCTTAGAAGCAGATGCATGAGGTGACTCTGAGTAGGTCCCGAAAACCCCTTTCTGCTACCTAGGCGCTCCTCCTCTCTGTAAGTCACAAAATGCAGACACTTCTGAGAAGGATGGTAGGTCAGGCGTTCGTATCTGAGTGTGACCGAGTTGGTTGGAAGCTTTCCCGAGAGAGGGATTTCACAGCGGAAATCTGGGAGACAAGGGAGCAGACAAGAGTATGCACAAGGGTTTGCCTGGATGAGATCCTTCTTGCAAGATTCTTAATGCTTTTGTCTGCATCGTCTAACTTCTTTTAGGTCTGTGGCTTATGTTCTGGCTTTGTTTTTCCAGACCAGATATGAACTGTATTGTATTGTATGCCCTGCTGGGATGTTAGCTCCACGAAACTGCTGTCTTCCCAGCTCCTGGAAGGCAGCCTGGCATGTTGTAGGTGTTCAATAAAATACTTGTTGAGTGACCAACTGAATGAATGAATGAATGAATAGAAAACCAGGCCAAGGTCTAAGCATCATTTTGTTAGAGTCACTGGAAATTTATACCCCTCTCACTTCGCTGCATTATTCCCATTCATAATTTCAGGAAGTCAGAGAGGACAACTCCTGTAGACTGAATGTTTGTGTCCCCCCCTAAATTCACATGTTGAAACCTCATGTCCGGTATGATGGTATCTGCTAGTGGGGCCTTTGGCAGGTGCTTATGTCAGGGGAGAGGAGCCCTGATGAAAGGGATTAGAGCCCGTATTAGAGTCTGGAGAGAGCTTGCTGCCTGCCCTGGGAGGGATGGGGTGGCTGGGTGATGGACATTGGGAGGGTATGTGCTACGGTGAGCGCTGTGAATTGTGTAAGACTGATGAATCACAGACCTGTACCTCTGAAACAAATAATACATTATATGTTTAAAAAAAAAAGAAGATAGTAGGAAGGGAAAAATGAAGGGGGGAAATCGGAGGGAGACGAACCATGAGAGACGATGGACTCTGAGAAACAAACTGAGGGTTCTAGAGGGGAGAGGGTGGGGGGATGGGTTAGCCTGGTGATGGGTATTAAAGAGGGCACGTACTAAATGGAAAAAAAAAAAAGAAATCTGCCAGCCAGAAAAGGCACCTTGATCTTGGATTTCTAGCCTCCAGAACGGTGAGAAGTTCTCTTGTTTATAAGCCACCAGTGTCTGGTACTTTCTTTTAGCAGCCCCAACTGACTCTGACAAAAACGGGCACTGGGAAGTGGGGGTGCTGCTCTGACAAATGCATGAGATGGTGGGGGTGGCTTTGGAACCGGGTGGCGGGCAGGGACCGGAAGAACAGGGAAGTGCGTGCTAGGAGGAGCCTACACTGCCACGGGTGGACTTTTCAAGGTGTTTGTGGTGCGAGCTTAGAAAGGGGAGAGGAGGGCTGTAGAGAAAGCCTCATCTGCTCAGAGAACGGTGATCCTGAACAGGAAGGTGCTGGACTGCGGATGGTGAAGGTTGGGCCTCAGACTCAGAGAACGGTGATCCCGAACAGGAAGGTGCTGGACTGCGGATGGTGAAGGTTGGGCCTCAGACTCAGAGAACGGTGATCCCGGACAGGAAGGTGCTGGACTGCGGATGGTGAAGGATGGGTCTCAGACAGAAATGAAGAACATGTTATTGGAAACTGGAGGACAAGCCAGGCTTGGTATAAAGTGGCAAAAAACCAAAAAAACAAAACTTGGCCGAATTGTGTTCGTGTTCTCGCCTTTGTGGAAGGTAGCACTTGCAAGCGATGAAATTAGATATTTAGCTGAAGCTATTTCGAAGCAAAATGTGGAAGGAGTGGCCTGGTTTCTCTCGCCTGCTTGTGGTAAAATGTGAGAAAGGAGAAATGACTTAAAGATGGAATTGTTAATTGGAAAGAAAGCAGAGCATAGAACTTAAAGATTTGGAAAATTCTCAGCTAATCCGTCTTGAAGAGAAAGAGAGAGTCTTCAGGAGACAACACTAAGGGTGTGGCCAAGAGACCATTTGATAATGAGAGACTAGTCCACCATCTCACAGAAACCAGGGAATATTTTCCAAGACAATGGGAGAATGCAAAGGAGGGGTTGCTTGTGCCCGACCCTCCAGCTACCACCTCTCTAGGTGGTCTCCACTCTCTCCTCGGCTGCCCCAGGTGCTGCTCCGGCAACCGGGTGAGGCGCGGGCTGTGCCCAGCGAGCTGCAGGGGCGTGGCTGCCTCCATCTTGATTTCAAAGGACCAGGCCTCCCAGCAGAGCCATGATCCCAGGCCCTAACCCTGGAGAGCCACAGAGGGGACAGGGCTGCCCAAAGCTGTGGGGGCAGGGCAACCGGGAGCCTTGGGGCCTCAACCTTACCCAGCAAAGCTGCCGGCAGAAGCACTGTCCCATTGAGTCTGGAGAGCCAGAGCATCAGGCCAAAGAGGATTATTCTTGAGCCTTAAGGTCTAAGGGAATTTGCCCCCTTGGGTTTTGGACTTGCTTGGGACTTGTTACTCCTTTCTTCTTTCCTCTTTCTCCCATCTGGAACGGGACTGCCTGTCCTGTGCCTGTCTCACCGTTGTATTTCAGAAGCACGAAACAGCTTTGATCCAGCAGGTTCACATTTGGAGAGCAGATTGCCTCAGGTGAATTGTACAAATTTAGGTGATATTTAGATTGGACTTTGGACCTAGACTTTAATGTTGATGCTGGAACCAGTTAAGAATTTGTGGGCTATTCAGACGGAATGAATATATTTTGCATACAAGAAGGACATGAATTTTGGGGGACAAGGGTGGAATATGAAAGACTGAATGTGTCCCCCCACATTTATATGTTGAAACTTAATCCCCAGTGCGGTGGTATTTGGAGGTGGGGCACTTGGGAGGTGATTTGGTCATGAGGGGATTATTGCCCTAATAAAAGAGATCCTAAAGAAATCTCTGGCCCCCTCTACTAGGTGAAGGTACAGTGAGAAGCCGGCTGTCTATCAACCGTGAAATTGGCTCTCCCAGACACCAAATCTGCCAGCCCCTTAATCTCGGACGTCTGGGCCTCCAGAACTGTGAAACATAAATGTATGTTTTTGATAAGCCCCCTCTCCCCCAGTCTATGGGATTTTTGTTATAGTAGCTGGCGTGGACTAAGACAACTGTCTTTTCATTATTAAGTTACATTATTTATTACTGTTTAAAAGTATCAGGGTTGTTAATCCTAATGGTTGAATTGTTGACTCTATTGTCGAATGAATTGTTGAATAGTTGAATCAGTTTGCCAGTGTTTTGTTCTTGTTGCTCAAATAGACCATCATAGCTGAAAATATTTTATAAATGATCAATTTACTTTGCTGTTTCTCTTAATCTTTCAAGTTAGCCTGATGACTGATTATATACATATATATATATATATATATGATGTAGGATATAGGATCTATCTATCTATCTATCTATCTATCTATCTATCTATCTATCTATCCTGAACAAAAGGTTCACAAATAGGTATTGCCTTCATCTTTCTTAAGTATTTGTTCTGAGAAATGAAAGAAAAAAGGCTTATGAGTTACTTTGGAATGTTGAATTTTATTTTATTTATTTTTAAAGATTTTATTTATTTGAGAGAGAGCACGAGTGGGGGGAGGGGCAGAGAGAGGGAGAGAAGTAGACTCCCCACTGACCAGGGAGTCTGATGCAGGGTTCCATCCCAGCACCCCGAGACCATGATCCCAGGACTCTGAGCTGAAGGCAGACGCTTACCCGACCGAGCCACCCAGGCACCCCTGGAATGTTGAATTTTAAAATTGATCCGAGAGTATCCCATCTTGGCATATGGTATCTCCCCAAAATATTGTTAAGAACTTTGCAGTAGAAAGATACATTAATTTCTTTTTCAAAATCCTTTATAGATTAATTTCCTTGGAGAACATACATTTTAGGACAGCTTTCAAGTATAATTATATGCATTTTGGCTGCCAGAGTCATTGTCATTCACCCTAGAGAAGAAAGGATTCAATACTTTCTTGGGTGTTGAATTTCTTCCTGCTGTTTCATTAGAGCTTTGTGGAACTGTGGCTGTCATCCTGCCTGCTTCTATCCTAAGAATCCTGGCAGAGGTACTGACAATGGTAGCATCCATTTATTTCTGCAACGGGAGAAGTAGGTACTTAGTAAAACAAGGGTCAGAAATGGGTTTTCTGTAAAGGACCAGTTGTGACTATTTTAGGCTTTTCCGGGCTACAAAGTTTCTGTTATAACTACTCAGCTGTGCTTTTGTAGC